CTTTAACCACTAGGCTACCCCACCGCCCCCATACATATACATTACCCATATGTTGCAAATAGTGAATTACGATGGATCTACAAAACGTTATATTGATAGTCATTGATAGTGTCTTGTTGATGATTCAATGGCACAGCAGTGACAACGATCTGGACAACCACCTTCAAAAGACAATTCTTTTAGCGAGATACAGCAATACAGCGATACAGACAGCACTTCACAAATGTTCACTTTCAGAGTATGTAGCAACATTTATTCAGAAACAAATCAATAAAATAACTATTTATAAAAAGTACCTTCAATATCTCAAACAATGTTACCCCTATAGTAAGGCATAAAGCCAGATGTTGGTTATCATGTACACACATGGTTCTTGTATTCACTTTTCAGATTGATCTGTCCTTGTCCTTTCTATTTTTCTAATTTAAGCATTGACATTGCTTCCTGAAGGTCAGGAACATCAGTCTGTGGATCTACATTGCATATTTTACAACCAGGTGTTTTAGGTATGCCTCCTGTACTGCTTCCTTTCCCAATCAATCCAGTTTTGGTCCGCGCCAGCCTCGATATATCCACTTCATGTGGATAGAAGACTTCAACCCATACGTTGCCCTGCCGGAGAGTTTTATAGGTGCTTTCTTCTTTCCTCAGGAACACGTTGGTTCGTTCATCCAAACGAATGAGGTGCTTCTGGCAGAAGAGGTCAGCTTTTGTATCCTTCTTTGTAAGGACCAATATGACGTAGTGATTCTTCCTTTGATCTTTCATACAGTAGAAATCGGCGAAGTACAGCCTGGCAGAGTCATCAAAGAGTCTCTTTAGGGATACCACCACTCTGGTGTCTCCGAATGGGGATTTAGTTGGTAGCCCACCTTTATAAAGGGTCACCCCAAAGAACACACCTTCAAGTTTCCCGTTTATGGGACAGCGTGGATCCCCGCCGTTGTCCTTCAGTTGTGGCATCATGGTGTTATTTACAAGTTGGTCGAAATGGTCAGCCGATTTATTGCGGTAAAGGCCGTTGACTGTATCGGAAGGCTGGTTGGAACAGTGCTTTTTAGCCTTCGTATGTAGTGCTTGAAGATGATCTGAAATGAATGATATTTACAGCAATAAGTATCAGTAACAAAAATCAAAAGTGATTCATCAACCAAGTGTTAACCTTCAGGAAAACAACTTGTTTTTGTTACACTGACACGTTTAGTAAAATGCTTCAGGATAGATGTGACATTTAATTAACAGAAACTAACATTTCATTCAGTATTCCAAACCATTTGGTTGACAGTACAGTGTGTCGTACATATATAAGTTAATAGCGTTTATAACTAAACCTGTATGAAACATGGACATCATATGGAAAAGAAAACAAGCAGCACATTTAGTCACATCAGTGTTTATTGAACTGAGAAATATGTATTGATTGTTTATCTTTATGGTTGTGGAATGAATACAAAATATTCCGAAACACTTAATGTACTTGTTTGATCTTTTACAATCTTAGATAAGAACCAAGTTAATTCACTCAAAACATTTGATTTTTACACCACCATCACACACAAGCATAGTGGAAAGCTTCTTTGTTCCATTGGGTTTCTGTCACTGAACGTGGTGACAAAAGATATTCTTAGATCTCTGCAATCAAATCTGTCTTCTGAAGTTAACTTAGAAAATAATGTATTAATTCGTTGGACATCCATATTTATAATGTGAATGTGTCTCCTTGATTATCCGTGGCTTAATGGGGCTTGGGTAGCCTAATGGTCAAAGAGTTCGCTCGTCACGACGAAGGCCCAGGTTCGATTCCCCACATGGGTACCTTGTGTGAATCTTATTTCCGGTCTACCCCGCTGCGAATATGCTGGAATATTGCAAAAGGCGGCGGAACTCCAATTCACTCACTCATTCATCATGAAGACAAATAGAATGTTCCGCTCGGATTGGTAAACTCAGACAAGGGAACAGACTAAGACTTTTAACTTAAGCTTCAGGTATATTGAAATGTGGTTCATTTATATCCAAACAGTCTACTGCCATCTACTTCCATTATACATAAAACACGCGTGAAAATGCCTTTGCTTTTCTTCAAACAACTTTTGTTACTGTTATGGCAATTCAGCCTTGCAACGTTTGTTTTCCGTATATGTTACTCTAACAGCTACACTCTCTACACGATGAACAATATACGAGCTAGAATGGTTGAGATATATTAATCCATTCCAGTTGAATATGATTAAGATACCTTGTTTCATGGCATTGAGGTAGACATGCCTATGCAGTGTATTATCCGAATTTGTTTGAGAAGTAAATAAAGAGTATTGTAAATACCTGAAACAGCGCTTGGTCCCTCTGCCATGTTGAAACGTTGCAGGTGTACTGTTGATGTCGTGACAAGTTGGCTCTACCTGCATACGTTAATGCGTCGGCACTATAAATACTGAATGACGTCTTCCCTTTGTTATGTTGAAATGTAAGCCGGTGGGATGCTGACGCCAGGAACGTTTGGACTCACAATGAATAGTAATAGGTCCATTTCTTAGGCACAGTTAACCACAGTGAGGTTGTAATAATTAGTAGTGCTTATGATCCCCTAAGTGCAGTCACGTTTTACATCATCTCATCTCAACCACGCAGGTAGACCTTATTCGTCATATATTTTATTATCCAGAACACCAAGCTTTTTCAGGCCCTGATAAGTTGTATCATAATGCAAAAAGAAGGCAATTGGATACCAGTTTACATCACATAAGACTGACTGACTGAGAATGGTTTTACGCCGTTTTTAGCAATATTCCAGCAATATCACGGCGAGGGCACCAGAAATGGGTTTTACACATTGTACCCATGTGGGGAATCGAACCCGGACCTTCGGCGTGACAAACGAACGCTTTAACCACAAGGCTATCCCACCGCCCCACATCACATAAGAAGTGTCCAGCTTCGAAGATGGTACTTTTAAGGTACAAGTACTTCTTTACAGTTTTTAATGTATTAAATACTAACGTAACTGTTGTTTCGATATTAGCGCACGGCTTTCGATTTCAGATTCAGAGAATTTGAGATTCCCAGAAAAGTCAGTAGTTCTTGGAAACTGTTAATCAATACGCCCGTCGTCATGCATGCGCTGTGCTGTTCGTGTTGGAGTTGACAACCAGTTACTCGTATCACCTTGTATCTATAGAATAGACTTTGTTCTAATTATTAGGCTAACGCAATTTAATTTACAAAGTTTGATAAAAAGTGTCCAGCTTCGAAGATTGTACCTTAAAGGTAGTTGTAGTCCAAGCAGAACAGGGTAATAGCCGCTGGATTGAAAGACAGATGTAACATCGACAAGACTGGTATATCTAATATAGCAATGACGGTGCCAAGTACTTCTCTACAGCTATTAATATATTTACACGGAAATCTTAAAGAATAAACACCAGCTCCTGTTTTTAGGTACATAAAATGATATTTTCACATGCCACACTGTACTTCATATTCTAAGATCTGATATTGGGAGATAAAGAGTAATGAATTATTTGATTGATTTATTGTTGTTTAACGCAGCATTCAGCTCTATGGCGGTGACCTGGTCTGCAAATAATCGAGTCAGGAACCAGACAGTTCAGTGATCAACAGCATAAGCATCGTTCTACGCAATTAGGATGCGATGACACGTGTCAACCAAGTCAGCGAGCCTGACCACCCGATCCTGTTAGTCACCTCTTACGAGAAGCAAGGGTTACTGGAGACCAATTCCTATCCGGATCATCACGGGTAAATAAGAACAATGAGAAATTTAGAGCTTCTTTGGAAAGTAAAGGCATAACTTAACACTGCCACATGTATGTGACACAGAATGAAACCAAAGCCTCCAGAGGTGTCCTATGTACTCCCACGACCACCATGGACAGATATTTCAGTCACAAGCAGTTTGGATATTTTAAAAGATTTCGCCATAGACAATAATCACTGACCCCACAGATACATGAGTAAAAATAATAAACGAATGAAAATGAAAAAAATAAAATTATATGGAAGGACAATACATTGATCTTTTAAACAAAAGGAGAAACGAAAGCCGAAATGAAATCATTTATATTCAAAGTCGGAGATCATGTCCAATTTTGGGTATGCCTTTAAACAATATATATCCTACGAAGGCGTTAGTACAGACATGGAATCCGGATTATCAGTTGATAGATGTAGCTGATGATGCGGTACAAGGAAGTTTTTATTCAAATGAAAAGCAGAGAGTAGACAAGCTTGCACACATTGGCGTGTGCAGAAAGTGGTTATGGAACGAAAGCATGCTGATCAAAAGTAAAGTTTATATCAAAACGTACAAATATGGTTCTAAAGTGAAATTAGTGTTTGGGGCGGACCTAAGCATTACGTGTCTCCACGAGTATAATTGCTGCTCAAAATGAAATATATCTGGCGGTTGTTTTGTTTGTTTGTTGTTTAACGCCGCACTCAGCAATATTACAGTTATATGGCGGCGGTTTGTAAATAATCGTGTCTTGACCAGGCAATCCAGTGATCAACAGCATGAACATCGATCTGGGCAATTGGGATACGATGACATGTGTCAACCAAGTCAGCGAGCCTGACCACCCGATCCCGATAGTCGCCTCTTACGACAAGCATAGATTCTGAAGACCAATTCTAACCCGGATCTCCGCGGGTCTTTTTGCCTCTCGGCCTGATAGGACAGATTCATGTAAAACTTTCGGGGACATTCAGACAGATCTTTCCCTAGCTATGTACTATCAACACAATCCAGTGATCAACCGCATGAGCATCGATCTATGCAACTGAGATACGATGACATGTGTCGACCAAGTCTGACCACCCAATCCCTTAAGTCGCCTCTCACGACAAGTATGGGTTGCTGAAGACACCAGGTGTTCACGAAAAGGGTCAGTGTGCCCTGCCCTGCCCTGCCCTGCCCTGCCAGTATCAACCAAAACACAGCCTCTTTGTTACCCTTAGTTTAAATAAAATGAAAGTCAAAGTCAGATTATTATTATGCTTATTGTAAAAGAGGCCGCCGGCCCATATACAATGGGATAATCAATGGGATAATCAATAGGTTACATTACAAATAGTGAATTACGTTTGATCTACAAAACTTTATTCATTGATAATGTCTTGTTGATGATTCAATGGCACAGCAGTGACAACAATCTGGACAACCATCTTCAAAAGACATTTCTTTTTGCAAAAAACAGCGATACAGACAGCTCTTCACAAATGTGCACAAATGTTGACTTTCAGAGTATGTAGTAACATCTATTCAGAAACAAATCAATACAATAGCTATTCAATATCTTCAATGTCTCTAACTATATTATCCCTATAGTAATGCAAATAGTTAGATATTGCTTAGCATGTACAAACATGGTTCCTGTATTCACTTTTCAGATTGATCTGTGTTCATCTTTCCTAACTGAAGCATTGACAGTTCTTTCCCAAGTTCAGGGACACCATCCGGTGACGATGCTTCAGATTCAATACCGCCCTCACTGTCACCTCCACTGACATTAGACTGGCCCAGTGTTTTGATTATGTTTCCGAAGTTGTCAGTGAGGTCCAGCCCCGATATATCCACTTCATCTGTATAGAAGACGTAAACCCATACTTTGTCCTGCCGGAGAGTTTTGTAGGTGCTTCCTTCCTTTTTCAGAAACACGTTGGTTCGTTCATTCAATTTAATGAGGTGCTCCTGGCAGAAGAGGTCAGCTTCTGTATCAGGCCTTGTAAGGACCAATATGACGTAGTGATTACCACTTTTCCAACGATAGAAATCGGCGAAATACAGCCTGGCAGAGTCATCAAAGAGTCTCTCCAGGGGAACCACCACTCTGGTGTCTCCATATGGTGATATAGTTGGTAGATCACCTTTATAAAGGGTCACCCCGAAGAACACACCTTCAAGTTTCCCGTTTATGGGACAGGTTGGATTCCCAAAGTTGTCCTTTACACTTGGCATCATGGTGGTATTTTCAAGTTGGTCGAAATATTTAGCAGTTGCATTGCGGTAAAGGCCACTGACTGTATCGGAAGACCGGCAGTGATCTTCAGCCTTCGTAAGTAGTGCTTGAACATTTTCTGAAATGAATTTATTTTTTGCAATAAATATTGGTAACAGATACGTCTCATTCAGGATGTCATACCATTTGTTTCACAGTACAGTGTGTCGTACATATATTAGTTGATATCGCAAATTATTAAACAATAACTAAACCTGTAGGAAACATGGACATCATATGGAAAGAAAACAAGCAGCACATTTAGTCACATCAGTGTTTATTGAACACTGAAATATGTAATGATTGTTTATCTTTATGGTTGTGGAATGAATACAAAGTTTTCCCAAACACTTAATGTATTTGACCTTTTACTATGTTAAATAAGAACCACGTTCAATTCAGTCAATACATTTGATTTTTACAAAACCAACACACACGACAAGAATATAGGAAAACTTCTTTGTCCCATGGGGATTCTATCACTTAACGTGGTAACCATAGATATTGTTATATCTCTGTCATCTGAAGTTAGTTTAGAAAATACTCTATGAATTGTTGGACATCCTTATTGATAACGTGAATGTGTCTCTTTATCATCTGGGTCTTTATGGGGCGGTGGGGTAGTCCAATAGAGAAAGCGTTCGCTCGTCACACCGAAGGCCCGGGTTCGATTCCTCACATGGGTCCATTGTGTGAGTCCCATTTCTGGTGTTCTGATATTGCTGGAATATTGCGTAAACCACAGCCCACTCACTCAGTCATCAACTATGTCTTAAAGACAAATAGAAAGGTTCGCTCGGATTGGTCAAATCAGACAAGGGAATAGACTTAGACTTTTAACTTAAGCTTCAGGCATATCGAGATATGGTTCATTAATGGTCAAACAGCCTACTGCATCCACTTTCATACCTCGTGTGAAACTGCCTTTGCTTTTCTTCATACTGCTTTTGTTACTGTTATGGCAACTCTGCCTAACAACGTTTGTTTTCCCCGTGTGGCTGCTCTAACAGCTGCACACTCTACGCGCGGTGAACAATATATGAGCTAGATCATGGTACAGATGCCTTGTTTCATGTGATTGAAGTAAGCATACCTACAGTGTATTATACGAATCTGTTTGAGAAGTAAGCAAAGAGTATTGTAATTACCTAAATCAGCGCCTCGTCCCTCTGCCATGTTGAAACTTTGCGGGTGCACTGTTGATGTGGTGGCAAGTTGTATCTACCTGCATACATTAATGCGTCGGCACTATATTTACTGAATGACGTTATTGCTTTGTCAAGTTGAAATGTAAGCCAGTGGAATATTGACGTCATGAGGAGAAACAGTGCGGTTCCTCAAACACCCATCTGCAGTTGTAATAGTTAGAATGTCATTGATCTGATCTATCTTGATTGTGGCTTTGAATTTTAAAAGGGATATAGAATCAGGAAAGATTTGTGTGTAAGGAAAAAGAAAGAAGACTCTTATCAACATATCCTAGACTCCTGACAGGCCTGTACGCCAGAACCAGGTCTGGGGCAACCAATCATGTGAGTTCAGGAAATTGTTAGTATCTTCATTGTCACTGCAAACTTCTCTGAAATCTGAATCTAGGTCGGATTGCGAGAAGGTGTAATAATGGGATTCGGCTGTGAAAACAAATCGTTCTCCATGCCTTTACCTTCTGTGTTGAAAGCTCACTATTCCTTATAAAAATAAAGATTTAAAACATAATTTAAAAGAGTGGTGGGGTAACCTAGTGGTTTAAGTGTTCGTTCGTCACGCCGAAAGCCCGGGTTCGATTCCCCACATGGTTCCAATGTGTGCACGCACGCGCGCACAGGAACACCTTAAAATCCGGGAGCAATGTCGTTTTAGATCATCTCTGCTCCAACCATGCTTGTCGAAGGAAGGAGAAAGTGCTTTAACCTTTTATATATCAAGCCTCATTTCAGACCCTGTTGCAGCATATCGCAAAGAGAGGGCATTTTGATGTCAGTTTACATTACAAAAGCGGCCATTCTCAGTAAAATGTACAATGGAAACCCGTGGGAAAAATCGGTAAATAGCATTACTTTCCAAGTACAAACATTGAAGAATCTGTTGCTAAATATTCAGCACTCAGGCACAAACAATTACCTTGCAACATCTCTTTATACGATCACAGTTTTTAATGTTTTAGATAACAATGTAACTGTTGTTTTGATACTAGCACACTGCTTTCGATCTGGGATTCAGTGAATTTTATTTTTTCCAGAAAAGTCAATAGTTCTTGGAAACTGTTAATCAATACGCCCGTCGTCAGGCATGCGCTGCGCTGTTCGTGATGGAGCTGTCAAACAGTTACTCGTATCCACTTGTATCTTTAGAATAGACTTTAGCACTCGTCTTAAGAAGTGTCCAGCTTCGAAGATTGGAGTCTTTGGTGAATAAGCACCAGATGCTGTTTTTAGGTCCATGAAATGATATGTTCACATGCCACACTGTACCTCATATTCTAAGATCAGATATAGGGAGAGAAAGAGTAACGAATTATTTGACTGATTTATTGATATTGAACGCCGCACTCAGCAATATTCCAGCTATATGACGGTCTGCAAATAATCGAGTCTGGACCAGACAATTCAGTGATAAAAAGCATCGTTCTACGCGGTTGGGATACGATGACATGTGTCAACCAAGCCAGCGAGCCTGACCACCCAATCCCGTTAGGCACCTCTTACGAGAAGCATGGGTTACTGAAGACTAATTCTAGCCCGGATCATCACGGGTATGAAAGAGTAATGAGAAAGTCAGAGCTTCTTTTGAAAGTAAAGGCATCACTTAATACTGCCACATTTATGTGACACAGAATGAAACCAAAGCCTCCCAAGGTGTCCTATGTACTCACGGCCACCATGGACAGATATTTCAGTCACAACCAGACCTCACCATTTGGATATTTTAAAAGATTTCGTCATGGACTATAATCACTGACCCCACAGATTCTGAATAAAAAGAATAAAAGAATAACAAAATAAATTAAAATATATGGAAAATGAAATCATTTATATTCAAAGTCGGAGATCAAGTCAGAATACAGTTTATATCAAAACGTACAAATTTGGTTCTGAAGTTAAATTACAGTTTGGTGGAGACCTAAGCAATATTACCGCTATATGGCGGCGGTCTTCAAATAATCGAGTCTGGACCAGACAATCCAGTGATCAACAGTATGAGCATCGATCTGGGCAACTGGGATACGATGACAGGCGAGCCTGACCACCCGATCCCGATAGGGTTTTTTTGTTGTTTTTTTTGGCTGGTGGTGTTTTTTTGTTATTTAATTTTGTGTGTGTGTGTGTTGTGTTGTTGTTGTTGTTGTTGTTGTTATTCTTTTTAAATGGCTGCACTGAAAAACTGAAGGACCCCAGAACCGTCAGACTAATTAATATGCCGTGAAGCCTTATATGTAAGCACGGTGTTAAAGATAAAAGTTGATTACAGTCTGTTTGGGTCAGCATGATGCCGATGAAGCTCAATCTAACACCAAATCGGTTCATGATCAAACATTCATTTCAACGCAGAATGAAAGGAAAACATCAGACCAACTCTGGAAAAAATAGTTTCATAACGTTTGTCTCCAAACTAAAAAAGTTGCTCAACAGACTATCATCATTTTGTTTTGAATTTCTGTGTGAAATTTTACGAGGGTAAAGTAACAGTTAACTGTTGGAGGAACAGCCTCAACAGCGTGAAGCACGTGTAATTGTGACGTCACATCAAGCATAGCAAATCGATTTATTGACGCGTTACATGAGAAAATGAAATGTACCTCTGACAACAAGTCCATTATTTCCAAAGTTTATGATGATTTTTAGGCGAAAGTGAAAACGGTCACCTTTAAATATGCCTTGGGTAAATTTGTTAAACGCACTGCATGTGCAGTTGGGTTGTCTAAAAGACAATTGAAACATTTATTGAGACAACGTGTAACTGAGTAAGGCACCACTGACGGGGTCGTATCAGAATCTCAACTTTTGAAAGTTCACAAACTTGACTGTTTTAAGAAAGAGTTAGTAAGAAATGCTACTAGAAGACTGTAGCAAGACTAAATTCCTTTCTTTGCACCTTACAATAGCACATGGATACAGAACATCCGTTGACCATATCCAAATATCAGAACGTTCATAATTTATAGCTACGTGGGGTGATGATGAATTTAAGGTGGGTCACCCATTTTGTTCTGGGGAGCTGGGGGATCAGCAATTTTTTGCCTAGAAATTATGGGAAGGGGGGCATTGATTTTATACATAATATATTTATTTTATTTTATTTTTTTTTGGGGGGGAGGGGTTGTCATTCAGATTGTATATGTTTCTCCATAAAAATCATCATCACACCAACATCCAACAGTAGGAAAAGTGATATGGTAGCATGGCTAGAAAAACAAGATATTCCGATTCAATCAAAAGCAACTATACCTGTTTTGAATGACATATAAAGGCGCTAAAAAACACCAATCTATAAAGCAGATCAGATATATATGGCATTTGGACTCTGAGTAGATCAATATCTCAAAGCTCATGGCCATGAAAGTTTACGTTTACCGCCTTACCATTGTGATCTCATTCCAGTAGAACTTATCTGGGGTATCATTAATCTGGTGAGGGGAGCAACAATACCATGTTTCGGACTTTCAAACCGAAGTACACAAAGCCATAAGTAAAACAACACCAGCAATCTGGAAAAACTGTGTACAGGAATTTGAAAATGTAATAGAGAATCAGTACTGGATAAAAAGAGGTTTAGATTCTGCCACCATTCAACCAGTCATCATAAGTGTAGAATCTGAGAGTAGTGAAAGTGAATCAGGAACTTCCTCAGTTCCAGGCTAGAAGAGTTTCGATACAATGATGATGACATCCGAACCTGCACCTGCTTCCCGTTCTTAAGGCTGTTCCTGCAACAGTTTACTGGTTCTTAACCCTCGTAAACCTTCACATGGAAAATCAAAACAAAATGACGATAGTTTGTTAAGCAACTTTTTTAGTTTGGAGACAAACCTTATGAAACCTTTTTTCCAGGGTTGGTCTGATGTTTTCATTACATTCTGTGTTGAAATGAATATTTAATCTGGAAACCGATTTGGAGTTTGATTGTGATTCATCGGTATCATTTTGACCAGACTATAGTTATATATCAATATATTGTTTTGAAAGTCGCATCGATGTATGATCATATTTCCTAAAAATGTCGGAAAGCGGAAGTAAAATCTCCAAAACAAGCCCGCAAGATCGTCAAAAACTCTCAGTAGCACTCACGAGAACCGTTTTGTAAACAAACGCACATGGGATCCGCCTTTTACTCAGAAAGTCCGTATGTCAGAAGGCCCGTAAGTCAGAATCCCGTTAGTCAGAAGGCCCGTAAGTCAGAATTCCGGTAGTCAGAAAGCCCGTTTGTCAGAAGGTCCGATAGCCAGAAAAGACGTGCTTGTGACGTCACGGGGAAACCCCCTGCTAAATCTCCCTTGGAGACAAAAGAGTTCCTATCGTAACTTACGAAAACTTGACTAGTCGTGTTGGGGTTACGAACTCGATAAGAACGTTTCGAGAATAGGTCGTAAACATTTTCTTAAGAATTTTTATCCTTTGGCGTAAGCAGTTAAGAATTCGTAGCTCTACGAACGTTTCGAGAATAGGCTCGCTGGTGCTGACCTGCCACAGTTTTTGTGTGCATTAGTCAATTTGAAAGGGGTCTAGCCAAACTCATTTGTTTTCTATTGGCTTATATATTCCATTTCTTTGCCCTCTTATTTGCCTCATGCATGTTCGTTTATTTTCATTCTCTTTTTCTACATCTGTCTCCTATTCTCCCTCCCTCCCTCCATTCGTCTCTCTCACACGCTCAAAAATGATTTCTGACATTCGGGCTTTCTGACTACCAGACCTTCTGATAAACAGGCTTTCAGACTACCGGACCTTCTAACTAACGGGATTCTGACTAACGGGCCCTCTGACTAAGAGGGTGCACACACACTCTCCTCCCCCACCCCCACCCACCCCCAAGCCTACGGAAAGGGGCGAGTGGTGACGAATGGTCTCTGGTATGTTCTCCTCCTAGATAACACAACGAGGTCATGAATTTTTGTTCAGAAACTTTATTCATTTACTCAAGAGGCCACAAGCCTACAGTACATTACAAACATTATACTATGAGAGTTATACATTTGCTAAAGTGTACTATTTGTTTCTATGTAACATCGTATGATAAATAAACATGGATTCTGTAGTGCATCATGGAATTGCTGTTTCATATTTAGACTGTCATCTTAGTGATACCGACAATTGGATGCTTGACGAATGGAGAAATATTATGTTTATATTTCCAATAAAATTTACATTTGAAAAATTATAAGACTGTTTGATTTCATATACAATGATCTTTTTACAATAATCCTCACCAACATGCCCTGCAGATTATGAAGTGCCATTCTCTACGAACTTAGACTGCCCCTTTCTGCATCCCAGGGGAAACCAAGCCTCAAGTATCCACAGAAACAGATTCAATTATCCATAAAGTGCAAATAGCGGTGAAAATTACACGAATGAATCAATGAAAATTAGTGATTACACCAGGTGTTCACGAAAAGGGTCAATATGCCCGCCCATACGGGTTTCAAACCCGTTCACAGCCTCTTTGCTTCCCTTAGATTTATATAAAAACAGTCACTGATAGTGTCTTGTCGGTGATCCAGTGACACAGCAGAGACAACGACTTGCATGACGATCTTCAAAAGATATGCCCTCCCCGTATCAACTCAGCGGTGACTGAGCGGGTTAGGTGGCTGACTTTGTGTGCTGGCGATAAGGTACTTGACTTTGAGGGTGTGGTTCGAATCCCGGATGGGACTCAACCCAAAAAATAACAGAATCTGTACTTTACTAAGAAAGTGTAATCCCAAATATAACATATGTTACATTTGTTTCCTTTAGTTTAAAGAAACATAGTCATCGATAGAGTCTTGTCAGTGATTCATTGTCACAGCAGAGACAATGATCGGGACGACCATTTCCAAAAAAAACATTTTGCTAAATACATACAGGTACGTTTTCACATTCAAACATTGCATATTTCACAACCAGATGTTTTAGGTATGCCTCCTGAGATGCTTCTGCCCCTCCCGATCACCTCAGTTCGATACCGCTTCAGCCCCGATATATCCACTTCATCTGTATAGAAAACTTCAACCCACACGTTGGCCTGCTGGAGAGTTTTGTAGGTGCGTTCTTTCTTCCTCAGAAACACGTTCTTACGTTTTTTCAAACGAATCAGATGTTTTTGACAGAAGCGGTCAGATTTCGTAGCCTTCTTTGTAAGGACCAATGTGATGTAGTGATTATCGCTTCGACTTGACATACAGTAGAAATCGGCGAAGTACAGCCTGGCAGAGTCATCAAAGAGTCTCTTCAGGGGAACCACCACTCTGGTGCTTCCGTATGGTGATATGGTTGGTAGCCCTCCGTTCCAAAGAGTCACCCCGAAGAACACACCTTTCAGTTTCCTGTTTATGGGACAGCGTGGATCCCCGCCGTTGTCCTTCCTTCGTGGCAACATGGTTTTATTTACAAGTTGCTTGAAATATTTAGAAGGTTTATTGCGGTAAAGGCTGTTGACTCTATCGGAAGGCCGGTTGGAACAGTGCCTTTTAGCCTTCGCATGTAGTGCTTGAAGATGATCTGAAATGAATGATATTTATAGCAATAAGTATCTGTAACTATTGAAAGAAATCAAAAGTGGTTCATCAACCAAGTGTTAACCTGCCGAACTGACTTACTGAGTTTAGTTTTTACGCCGCTTTTAGCAATATTCCAGCAATATCACAGCGGGGGACACCAGAAATGGGCTTAACACATTGTGCCCATGTGGGGAATCGAACCCGGGCCTTCGGCGTGACGAGCCAACGCTTTAACCACTAGGCTACCCCACCGCCCCTAACCTGCAGAAAGTGAAATGTTTCAGGATAGATGTGTTAACAGATACTGACATTTCAGTTTATACCATTTGGTTCATACAGTGTGTCGAACATAATTTAGTTAATAAGACAGTTGACTGTATCGGAATAACTTGTTTGAGTGGCATTTAAAAGTTGGTGTGATGAACAACGAGGAGAGTTTTATGGATGTACAACTTATTTAATATAATATGATTCCTGTAAGAATCAAAGAACATCAATCCTCTGTGAAGAAGAAAGACTCCAAATCCGCCATCTCTGACCACACCCAAGCTCACCCAGACCACAACATCCTATGGAAAAGCATCAATGTACGCACCAGTAATCACACCCACTACAAGATCAGAAAGCTACTAGAAGCCGTTCACATCAAAAGACTCCAACCGGCCATGAACAGAGACCAGGATATTACATCCCCACTGTCTACAACCAACTCATCACCAAGCAACCTTCAGGACTCTGCTTTTTGTTACAGTGACACGTTCAGGATAGATATATTTAGATATCTCATTCAGTGTGTCATAGTGTATGGTTCATAGTGCAGTGTGACATACATATACTCATGCCAATAAGGATTGTCACCCCCTCCCCAACCCCAACCCCCCTCTCCAATAAAAAAATTTGAAGGGGGTGACAACCATTATTGGCATGGGTATATAAAGGATAATTACGCACATTATGAAATGTCAGTGTCTTAAACTCAATCAACAGGGAGCAAATGTAGCAACCTCAGTTTGTAGTGATATGTCCTCTCTTTCAACATCAACAGATAAGTCGTGAAGTAAGTGAGTGAGTATTGTTTTACGCCGCTTTTAGCAATGTTCCAGCAACATCATGGCGGGGGACACCAGAAATGGGCTTCATATTGTACTATATGGGGAATAGAACACGGGCCTTCGGCGTGACGAGCGGACGCTTTAACCCACTAGGCTACCCCACCGCCCAGTACACATTCAGAAGGTAGAGGAAGGAACAGTATGTACAGTGGACCGGTCGGAATTTTCACTGCTGTTGGAAGTATCATAGCAGCTGACATGAATTATGAGCTGGGAATCAAACCCCAAAATTCAGTCGGATGGGGAAACGCTTCAGCCACTTGGCTACCTCTTCACTCTTTGGTTCAAACATACGAGACGTTGACCAAGTCCCCGCTGGAATGTTGCCAAGCCTTGACGGTAATGACAACACTTTCAAGGCGAGAAGTATCACAGCATAGGCGAAGAAAATGTTCACATAAATTGACCATGTATATATTTCTAGGGATTCTGTACAAACTATTTCTATATCGCGGGCACCACTGTCGCTGTTTCCTCCATAGACATAATTCAGGTAACTACTACCACTGTATTTCTTCCACGAGGCGGAACATTCCTAGAAGTGAAGCTCTGGCGATCAACTATGGTTGGCGACCCATATTTAGACAGTCAGGGAAAGTAAAAAGTGACTCTCGCGTGAAAGATTTATTGCGACGTGCAACATGAACGTGTGTGGGTACGTTCTTGCGGGTCCTTTTCTTTCTGTTTACTTTTCCTTGCGTGTACTATTCTGCTCAGTGTGGGTGAATAGTGATAGCTCCTAGAGATGCTACAGTTTAACATGGACACTTTATGTTGAATCTGAGACTGCCATTTAAGGCCATCCAGCATGTCAACTGTTATAAAAACAGAGGCAAAATTGTTTGTACGGTTCAGTTTAGCTCCGATTTGTTTTGTTTCTTTGGTTGTTGTGTAAAGACATTCCATCTCGATTCCATCTTGGGGTTCTTGAAACGGAGTTTCGACCAGACAATGTAGTGATCGTCACCCGGAGCATATTTCTATGTAGCTGAGTTTTCTGTGCTGGGTAATAAAATTACCGTAGATAAGTTCGGGTGAGCCCAGTTTGATACACAGCCGTGAAATATACATTTAACGCACTGGCCATTTGATTTATTTTCTGGGGGAGTGAGTTAGTATTTAACTTATTTTAAGCCGCCGCCATACAGCTGGAACATTGCTGAATGCGGCGTTAAACAACCAAACCAAACCTACTTATTTTGATTTATCTTTTTGCGAAAACGAAGAAAAAACACTATCTTAGACATGTACTAAATAAACTGTTTATTGGACAGAAAAGAAAGATTGTCTAAACAAATCCCCTCGTCCCCCAATCCCGAATATTGAATGTCCGTAACAGATAGCCGTACATACACCTGTTGCAATATATCACGTACAAGGTAAGGCATGCGGGCATTTCGGCTTTCCAGGGAGTAATATTCTCCAAATCGTCTATTATTACCTATCCTTTTGACCTTTTCCCCATGTTTAGATGACTGTTCCTTTTCTTCTTTTGCAGTTCATATCCTGACTATGATGGTTGTGCAGGTTTCAAAATGCAACTATTACGTATGTGGTCATTTGATAGTAAGGCATACTCTTAGTAATCAGCATTTCAAACTCACAATCAACAATCGAAACATTAACGCCGGAGACAAATAACATTCTATGATGTACAGAAATACCTTTCTCCCGATGTCTTCTTCTGGCCATAGTGCTGCTATTCTGGGTTCGTTGTATGTTGTGAGTCAACACCATTTACAAGTGTTAATATATCGCATTATAAGGAGTCCGAGTTTCAGCTGTTATAGACAATTAATTCACGGATACTATAACCTCCAACAACCACGCCAGCAGTATGGTATGATGGCGTACGGTGACAAATCTTAACATAGACTCCTCTGGAAACGCTAAAACAGGTTAAACCGACCGACCGAAGCCTTAAAAACAGGCACAAGCACCCACCCCGCCGCCGTATGTGAACACCTAATGGCCGGACTCTATTGACACTCACAGCTTTCTTCTCGCTCCGTCCACCGCGACGGGATTAACCCCCACCTGGTAAGTAAACACTGGAGGGTTGTGTAAATAAAACTGGACATCCAGTAATGTTGCGATAATGAAAGGCTCGTGTTATAAAGCGAACCCTATTATCGCGCAATACACCGTGATATTTATTCAATCTCCTTGACTGATTATTTTTATTATTTTTTTTTATTATTATTAGCATAAGTATAGGTGTTACACATGCGATACATAAGTACATGTACAAAGCGAGGTGTTACACTACTTCTAACAGAATAAAAAATATCTGTGTTTCACATAGCCATAAAAATATTATCCACGGATGTGAAAGTAACATCCTCGGAAGTGTAACACATTTGCTTTACATACTATAATGAGAAATTAAAGCAAATATAGGATAAGTACTAGAAGTGAACGTATGGAAATAGAAAGAGAAAGACAGAAGAGAGAGGAAAGAGTAAATGACATGGGGGAGGGAGACGGGGGAGGGGCCGTGTCGGTGGGTGGGTGTTTAAATTTGTTAGACTAAGCGCTAAGTGTCGGCATCAATGTTGACCATTTGTTGTTAGTGTGGTATTAACAGGGCCGTAAATATACTTGTCAAAGTTATACATTGGCTTGATTGATGGTTTTGTCCTTAGAATGGACATCTACGTCATACTATATAGATCACAGGAGTGCAGATTTCCCGCTGGATATTAAACCTTCTATAGAAATAACTGGCTTTACGGAATGAGACATGACGGAGAATATGAGAATATGAGAGCGGACAAAGGTGGGGGTTTTCATGTTTATATGCAACGGGGTTATAGAGATAACTAGGTCCGGAGCGATCTGATTGGTTGATAACGAATACAACTAAATCTCTTTATTCTGAGAATTGTATGATGATAAATTATAACTTCTAAAAGGACCGCGTGTTCTATTTACCTTCATATAAGGCCTATGATTAGCGTCATGTTGGCGACTGTCGGTAAGAGGTGGTGACAAGCGAGTATACTTCGTATGGGATTAAAGGTTCGAATGTAGGATATGATAATTGAAGGGTTTAAAGTTATCTACAGCACCTGCATTGGAGAGCTGCATTGCAACCCCGTAAGGTGCGTTCTGAACAAAGAAAGTTAAGGGCGATAGGAAATTTTAAGAAATTATCCATAACTATTATTGTTCAGTATGTAACACCCCTGTCGTTAGGCGAACGGACGTAGGTGTTCGAGACAACAAATGACTCGAACAAAGATTCGTAAAAAAATGCTTAAATTTATCGACAGTGAGTGAGTGAGAATGGTTTTACGCCGCTTTTAGCAATATTCTAGCAATATCGCGCCGGGGAACACAAGAAATGGGTTTCACACATTGTACTCATGTGGGGAATCGAACCCGGGTCTTCGGCGTGACGAGCGAGCACTTTTACCACAAGGCTACCCCCACCGTCCCTTATCGAAAGACATTATGGTTTGTACACTCACGCAATCACTTTAATGGTCAGACTGGTGGTCAAGAAGACAATGTAATAGATCTGTCTTCAAAATTGGAGCCGTGACATTGCCGATCCATACTAGCACGATTTATGCTGGCTCTCTGATACACACAGAGAAAGCAAGTGGACGAACTACTCGAGCTTGTACTAAAGCAAGACAGACAATCAACTCCCTAAGAGAAGTTGGCCTCAGAGCTGGAGGATTTAGCCCAATATCTTCTTCGAATATCTGGCAAAGAGTAATCTTCCCATCTGCTTTCTATGCATGTGAACTCTGGCCAAA